TCTCCATAGGGCACGTGTGCTCACCAGACAGACAGAGAGAGACATAGAGACAGAAAGCGAGAAATCACCCCCCAGGGGGTATGGTCACGCCGGGATGGTCACACCGCAATCCCTTCTCCTCCATTCTCCTCTCGGGATCTTGGGCACGCACGCACACGCGCTCAGCATGAATTTTAAGCCACCGGGTCCAGGACGCGAACCACGGTCGACTACGTGGGAGTCCAGCGACATAGCCATTACGCTAACTGCTGGTTCCCCCCAGTGCCTTTTGACATTTGTTGTTTCCAGGTAGAATCAAATGTTAATCTTACTGGTTTCCTTGTAAGTGATCATTTATTTTTCTCTTGTTGCTTTTAAGATTTTTTTCTTTTTATGATAGTATATATGCTACAATGTGACTGTGTTTAGATCTTTGCAATTATTCTAATTAGTGTTTGTTGAGTTTGGATGTATAGATTCATGTTCTTCAGGAAATTTGGTATGGTATCTTTTTTATTTCTTAAGAGAGATTTTTGCTATAGGGTGCATGCATTCACTGCAGAAACAGAGATGGAGAGACAGAAAGTGAGAAATCACTCCCCTAGATGATGGCCACTCCGCAATCCCTTCTCCTCCCTCCACTGTTCTCTTGGGATTTGGGGCACACATGAACACATGCCCGACGTGAATTTCAAGCTGCCAGGTTTAGGACTCAAACCACTGTAGGTTATGTGGGAGTCCGGTGATGTAACCATTATGCCATCTCCTGATCCCCAGTTGTTTTTTTTCTTTTTTTCCCGAGGTATCCTTTTTTTTTTTTTTTTGAGAGGTATTTGCTATAGGGTGCGTACGCTCACCAGAAAGACAGAGACAGAGAGACAGAAAGCGAGAAATCACTCCCCAGAGGAGATGGACACCCTGCAGTCCCTTCTCCTCCATTCTCCTCTTGGGATCTTGGGCACGCACGCATGCACACATGCCCGGCGTGAGTTTAAGCCACTGGGTCCAGGACTCGTACTGCGGTCGACTACATGGGAGTCCAGCAACATAGCCATTATGCTAACTGCTGGTCCCTCGAGGTATCTTTTTTTTTTAATGTATTACTTTATTTAACTTTATTTATTTATTTAATTTTAATTTGACCAGAGAGGGACAGAATGTGAGCGAAAGAGAGAGAGAGTGAGGGAGGGAAAGTGAGAAAGCAAGCCGCCAGGTCTGGGACTCAAACCACAGTCCAGGAGTGGCCTTAACCACCATGCCACCTGCTGGCCCCCCTCAGGTACCTTTAAAATGTAAACTCAACCCATTAAACATTAACTCCCTGTTCCCTGCTCATTCTAGCTACCACTATTCTAGTTTCCATTTCTATGATTTTGACTGCTTTAGGTACCCAATATAAATGGGGTTATATAATAGTTCTCCTTTTTATCTGGTTTACTTTACTTACCGTAATGTCTTTTAAGTGTGTCCATTTAATAACATATAATAGCCGTTCCCAGAATTGTGCGTTTTTTAGGTGTTATTTTTTTTAATTATTTAATTTATTTTTTAAATTATTTTTATTACTGTTTTTAAAAATTTGCTATTGGGCATATGTATTCACCAGACAGAAACACAGAAAGAGAGAAAGAGAAAGCCAGCTGGTGGGTTCAGGACTCAAACTGCAGTCAACCATTGGTGTCTCAACTACCATGCCTCTTACTGGCCCCAGGTGTTGACATTTCTGATTCTTAAGTTTTGAAATCTTTTTTCCTTTCCCATTGTCTTTCTTTTTCAAAAAAGATTTATTTATTTAAATTACATTTGTTGTTATTTTTTAATTCGACCAGGAAGAAACAGAGAGAGAGAAAGGGAAAGCGAGAAAGCAAGCTGTTAGGTGCGGGACTCAAACCATGGTTAGCCATGTGGGAATCCAATACCTTAATCACCATGCCAACTTCTGGCTCCTTACATTTTCTTAACTTTCCTGTTATTTTAGGATTATCGCCTAATTCTGCTTGTCATTGTGTATTTAACTGGGAGGCAGGCATGGTGGCATGGTGGTTAAGGGCACTGGACTCCCACATGGCTGGCCTGGACCCAGTGACTTGCTTTCTCACTTTACTCTCTCTCTGTCCCTCTCTGATCAAATTAAAATAAATAAATAAAGTTAATAAAATAATTCTTAAAAAATAATACAAAACGAAACAGAAAAATTTAAATTGGATAAGTAAAAACAAACAGTGCTGTGTTACCATTAAGAAAGTTGTTGGCAGGACGAGCAGTTAGCGTAATGGCTATGTCGCTGGACTCCCATGTAGTCGACTGTGGTTCGCGTCCTGGACCCGGTGGCTTAAACTCACGCCAGGAGCGTGTGCGCACGTGCCCAAGATCCCAAGAGGAGAGTGGAGGAGAAGGGATTGCGGTGTGGCCATCCCCCCGGGGGGGGGTGATTTCTCGCTTTCTGTCTCTCTCTGTCTGGCGAGTGCACGCGCCCTATAGCAAAAAACCTCTTAAAAAAAAAAAAGAAAGAAAGTTGGTGGTGGTATGCTATACTGTTTATGAAACAAACAATACATAATTTATAATGTAATTTTGCAGTGTATAATTTTGGGTCTTTTGCTTAAAAGAAGTAAATACACTGTTCAGTGGAGTGATTGTGTGAAATTGGTGGTCCCTCTTTTTTTCTAACCTTCAATCTGAATATTTGAAGGATTGTGATACACTCCCAATGATTAAAAAGGCTCAGGTTAGAAGTGATTTCCCACAGGGAGAGGGTCATGACCGCCCTTCCTTTGAGTGTGTATATATACCCAGCTACTCCCCAAAGTCACTGGTTAGTGTGCCTTAACTGCATGTGGCAAAATCAAGAGATTAAAATTTAACTCACTGTTCATTCATTTTGGGGTCTTGGGGTGGGCCCTGATAGAATCCCACCACACCATGGTCCTTCTCCTAGTCTGCTTAGTCAGGCATGAACACTAGAATGCCTGTGTGTGTTCAGGTTAACCTGAGATCTGAACTTGGGGCCTTCCCACATGGCTCCAGAATCATGCAGTGGCACACTACTACCTGCTCCACAGTGACTGGGCCTTTAATTTACTTTTTATTAATTTAAAATTTTTGTGTATTATTGTTTATAAATTATTAAAGCAAACATGTGCTCACCAAAGACAGAAAAAGTGAGAAAGCATCCCCCCTCCCCCAACAGGGCTATAGTTCTGTTTCCTTCATTTTCCAACCTATCAGGATCTTAGGCACACTGTGATCAGCCAAGTGGCAGTCCAGCATCTTAACCACCATGCCACCTGTGGGCCCCACCCAGTGTAATTTTCAAACTACCAGAGGCAAGAATTGAACCAGTGACAGTCATATGTGATACAGGTTCCAATGCACAGTGCTGAACCACTTTTTACCTAAACCCACTCCTGAGATTCAAGGCATCCTTTGCTAATAACCATGGCTTTTTTTTTTTTTTTTGCCTCTACATAGAGCTGTTTTGATGCAGCTGTCCTTAATGTGTTACCTTGGAGTGATTGCTCAGTATTGGCTTCATTTAGGGTAGACAGGGAATGAATATTGAAAATTGCTATCATTTTATTTTAAACATTGGAGAGTATTTTTTATTTAAAGTACTTATTATAGTTTCCCTCAGTTTAATATTTTTAACAACTCATATTTTTGGTCAACATATGAAATATATCATTGGTTTAAAATTGAGTTTTGTAAGCCTTATATATGGTCTTTTATTCCCAAACAGAGACTCTACAGGGGCAGGTAATTCACTGGTCCACAAGCGGTCTCCTTTACGTCGAAACCAAAAGACCCCAACATCCTTGACCAAGCTGTCTTTACAGGATGGACATAAAACCAAAAAACCAGCATGTAAATTTGAAGAGGGTCAGGATGTCCTAGCTAGATGGTCAGATGGCTTATTTTATCTTGGAACTATCAAAAAGGCAAGTTACTTTAATATAAGATGTATTTTGATGTTTTTCCAGTAAATTTGTAATATTCTTAAGTATAACATTGTATTTTTAATTTTAAGAGATCATCATAAGTTTTCCTTGTATTGCAGATAAACATATTGAAACAGAGCTGCTTCATCATATTTGAAGACAGTTCTAAGTCCTGGGTTCTCTGGAAGGACATTCAAACAGGCAGGTGCTAGTATTCTCTTAAAAATGATTTATATTGAAATTTAATTTCCTTCAAGTTTTTATTTCTTGGTGTTGTCTGTTGAATACAGTTTATTAAGATAAGTTAGTATCACTTTTGGAAAGAGGTTAAAAAAGTCACAGCCTTCAATGAGTTGTAACCTATATTATAAACCATAAAAAGACAAGAATATTCTCTTAGGATAGAGATGGCGTAGAGGACACATGTATCACTCATTCATACCTATTGAAATGGACCTTCTAAGAACTACGAAGAAAAATTTTTAGCTGCTTATATGAGTTAGGAATTCAATTTAACTGTTAAAATGCCTATATTAGTATAAAGCAGTGTAGAAAGTGAATGTTGAGAGCAAGCTATTTGCCAGGTGATTTGGGAAATTAGGACATAATGCAGTGACTTAGAGTACTAGAAAGATTTATTAAGAAGAGTGGCTTAGAAATATTTATGGGGGAAATGGGGATATTTTGGGTGAAAGTTAAAATATATAGGTATGCATTGGTTTGGTTATTGTTTCTTGTGATTAATTCTGTTATTATAATTGTTATATACCCTTTGAATCTGCTAAAAATGTTTTTCCAGATATCTCTTTCATGCATAGTATTAACATTTATAGAAAGTGCAAATCTTTATTAAGAATTTATATAATTTTGCAGCTTATGCAAGCCCCACTGTTTTTGTTTGTTTGTTTGTTGTTTTTTGTTTCTTTTTTTGCTAGGTTAATTGGCCTGAACTAAGACTTGTATTTGCTTCGTTTCGTTTTTTGGTAGTTTATTATAGGACTTGTACATGGACTTGCTGGGGGCGGTGGGGAGAGAGAGAGAGAGAGATCCATTAGTTTCTCAGGATTTTGGGCAGAATCATGTGCCTGAGTGATTCTCAAGCCACCAGGTCTGGATTCAGCTGTACCATTGGCCATGTAGTATTCAGCCATCTTAGCTTCTGTGCTACCTGCTGGCCCTGTTTGTTTATTTTTTGCTATAGGGTGCTTGTGCTCACCCAAGAGACAGAAAGTGAGTGGAGAGAGGGGAGAGAAAGTGAGAAATCACCCCCAGTGGGAGATGGGCACACCATAATCTCCTCTGGAGATTTTGGGCATGCACATGCACATTCCATGCATGAGTTTCAGACTGCCAGGTCAGGACTTAAACCACAGTTGGCCACGTGGGAGTCCAGTGCCTTAACCACTACACTACCTCCTGGCTCCTTGTTTCATTTTTTAATTGCTAGAGAGAGGCATAGAAGGACAAAGCATACCCTGGGTTGTGATTATGTTGTAATCCCTTCTCTTCCACATCTCTGTCTTGTCAGGATTTGGGCATGCATGCATATGTGCCCAGTATATTTTTTAAACCACTGACAACCAGAATTCGAACCATGATCGACCATGTGGGATCTGACTCCCTTAACCACTAGACTATGGAGCAGGCCCCTGACCTGTTTTTTATGTCTCCCCTTGTGGGAAAGAGACTTAACTTTTCACCCTAAAAGGTCAATACCTCTAAAATAAAATTGGTGGTTGGGTTTTGTATTGAGTGGAGATAAGTGGGAGGCAGTTCAGATAGAAAGCAGCACACATGCACATACACACACAAAACAAACAGGAAATGTGGGAGAATTTAGACATACAAGAAACAAATTTAACACTAAAGCCTATTAACTTGCCTTTTCATTGAAGTAAAGGACCTGAACATTGTAAAAAATAAAGGAGGTATAATACTTCAAGCAATTTGTATACTAATTATACAATCAGCAAGTAAGTAGAACATTGCATTATGTTAGGTGTCAGCAACATACAATCACTTGTCTCTCTTTTTTTTTTTTTTTTTTTTAAGAATTACTTTATTTATGTATTTAAATTTGACCAGAGAAGGGGAGACTGAGGGAGAGAGAAAACCGCCAGATCTGGGACTTGAACTGTGGTCGGCCATAAGGGAGTCCAGCGCCCTTAGCCACCATGCCACCTGTTGGCCCTTTGTATTCGAATTTCAAGTGATACTTTATGGTAGGTTACTGCTGTATTCTTTTGCTTGATTTCACTTCTAATGGTACTGATAGAATACAACAAGTTTTGTTTAGGACCAACAGATGACATAATGATGACATCACTGGACTCCCATGTAGTTGACTGCGGTTTGAGTCATGGATCCATGGCTGAAAACGTACGCCATGTGCATGTGTGCCCAAAATCCCAAGAGGAGAATGGAGAAGGAATTGTGGCGTGGTCATCCCTCCTGGGGGAGATTTCTTGCTTTCTGCCTCTCTGTCTCTCTTTCTCTGGCAAGCGCATGTACCGTATAAAAAAAAATCTAAAAATAAAACACTTTTGGTAAAGGAATTAAGTGTTGGAACAGTCCTGAAGCCTATTGGCTAAGGGAGTTGGATCCCTTATCAGTGACAGCAATTCAAATCCTGGCCGTGGTGACTTGAGAAACACCAGGTGTGTGTGCATGTGTGTGGAAAATCCTAACAGGATGAATATAGGAGGAGGGATTGTAATGTGACTGCATACCTTTGGGGGTGTGCCTTTTCTCTCTCTGTCTCCCTCACACACATGCCCACTTGTGATTTAAAAAAAAGATTTTTAAAAAATTATTTTGTTTATCTTTATCCATTTATTTTAACTTGACCCAGAGAGAAATAGAGAGTGAGTGAGAAAGTAAGCTGCCAGTTCTGGGACTCAAACTGTGTTGGCCACATGGGAGTCCAGCACCCATATCCCCCATGCCACCTGCCGGCTCCACAAAAGTGTTTTATTTACCATCTATATAGTTGGTACTCAGGGTTTAGGTAGGGAACTCAATAGCTATTAATCTAGTAAATGTTTCTTTCTCCCTCTCTCTTTTTTTAAAGAATTATTTTATTCAACTTTATTTATTTTAATTTGACTGTAGAGGGAGGGAGGGAGAGAGAGAGAGAGAGAGAGAGAGAGCGAGCGAGAGCAAGCAAACTACCAGGTCCGGGACTTGAACTGTGGCCACCCATGTGGGAGTCCAGCGACCTTAACCACCATGCCTTTTCTTTTTTATTTTAATTGCAGAGGGCATATGTGCTCACCAGTAAGGAAGGAGAGAGCATACTCTCCAGTAGTCCTGCTGTACGTAACCCTTTTTCTTTGATTTTTCCATTCCATCCGGATTTGGGGCATGTATGGACGTGCACGTATATTTTTTAAGTTGCCAGGGCCAGAATTGAAAACCATGGTTGGCCATGTATGATTGGCTCCCTATGCATAGCAGTTAACTGTTGTGTTTTGGGGTCAGCCCCTAGTAAAATGTTTCTCTAGAGAAACTTTCTTTTAAAAAATTATTTTTTAGATTTATGTAGTAATTTATTCATTCATTTAGTTAGTTATTGTAATTTGACCAGAGAGGAACAGAATTAGAGAAAGAGAGAGAAAGTGAGAAAGCAAGCCACCAGATCCAGGACCACAGTTGGCCATGTGGGAGTCCAGTGCTCTTAACCACCATGTCACCGGATGGTCCCTCTAGAGAAACTTTTTGTAGCTCTTGGGACTGATCATTTTAAAGGACTAAAATTATGTCTTAAATCTTAATGAAATTGAGGGATCTGTAAGAAAAGACTCATAAGATTGAAAGCGATAGGTGATCAAGCCAGCCCATTGGCGTATAGGCCTAGGATGATGGATTTCACATGACTGACCACTGTTTGAATCTCAATCCTAGCACCTTGAAAAATACACTGGGTTCGTCTGTGTGTGTGCCTAAAACCCCAGCTGGATGGAGAAATGTCGGGAAAGGGATTGTGACATGATTTTGCGCCATTGTCAGGTGTTTTCTCTCTCTCTCTCTCTCGTGGGTGTACTCACCCTATGACAATGATAAAATATAAAAAAGTTCTCCAACAATAGTAATATTAAGCAAATCTTATTACCCTGCATACAGAATTATTTCTTTTTCCTTATTTTATAAACGTGATTGTTTTTCTAGTGGGACTGAAACGTGTTATGTTGGTTTTTTTTAATCTCCCTTCTGTTAGCTATTTGTCTCTTTTAGCTTTTTTATATTTAGAGGCTCCTATGGGTTTAATATAGATTGGCCTTTTTTGTCTTTTTGTCCTTTCTCTCCCTTCTTTCCTTTTGTAAGTGACAGAAAAAAGGAAGCTAATGCTATGTAGAGACAGAAAGTGAGGAATCCTGTCCAATAATAAGTGCCCCATCTGTAATATGAATTTAGTGGTCTGTGGTTGTTCACTGGCTCTTTATACTGTCTCTAGAATTAAAACGGATTGTCCCGTGGCTATTTAACTTTTTGTAGAACCCAGAATATAGCATGAATGAAATTTACAGTTGATACAGAAGTAAATAAGTGAATCTGAAAACAGCATTATGACAAATTTCACTTGGAGAGTAGCTTTAGTTTTCTCCCTTTATATGAAATTTAATAATAGATACATATCAAAATGATGTCACAAATTAATTCTATTTATCAAATAAGATTCTTTTAAAAAGTTTGCATAAATAAGGAAATATATATAATTATGTGAGTAGTCAAATGCATGTTACAGCAGGGAAATAAATATCATGTTAAGACCATTACATATATCCAAAGGTTTTGTTGGGTTAATGTCTATTTGCCAGAGAGTGAGTGTACTCTTCAGAGAGAGGGAAAGAAAGCACTCCCAGTGGGTCTGGTCATGTTGAGATCTTTTTCCTTCCATTTCTCATTCCTACCAGGACTTTGGGCACACAAACACACACACCTGGCATGTTTTTTAAGCCTTTGTTCCTGGAATTCAAACTGCACTTGTCCGTATGGGATCAGCTGCCTTAATACTGTGCTATTGGGCTGTCCCTAAGAGGGTTTTTAATTGTTCCCATTCATTCTATCTTGTTTAGTAACTATATACCTGAAATTAGGTGATTAGAAGTATATTCAGCTGACAGTTTGAAAGTCCGAGCTCCAGGGGTCACATCATATGAGGGCCTTCTTGCTGTGGGAACTCTGTGCAGAGTCTTCAGGGTGACAAAGAGTACACATAATGAGAAGAGAGCAAGAGCTCCTGTGTCGGTGTCCATGTCTGTCATTCTTTCTCCTTATTTAGCTGCCGCGATTCATTTTAGGGCCCCTCCATGGTTACCTTAATCCTAATCACCTCCCACAAACTGCATTTCTCAACACTATAGTTGGATTATGTTTCCACTTTTCTTTTTTTTTTTTATTTTTTTTGCTATAGAGTACATACACTTACCAGAGAGAGACAGAAAAAGTAAGAGAGAAAGAGAGAAATTACCCCTTGAGGGGAAACTACCCTCAATTTCTGGCCCTATCTCCATCCTTTTAATCCCTTCACAATAGCACCCAATTTTTAACATATGAGTCTTTTAGGGGACGATATAATCTAAATGATAGCATCAATTTAAACACCTAATGCTATTTTAGTTTCTGAAATGATACATTCCTGTGTTGCTGGTTGCAATGTAGTATCTCTGGTTAATACTTTAGCATTTGCATGAAATGCATGAAAGTGTTTATATTGACTCTTTAGCCTATTCAACAGATCCACTTCTAATAGTTAATTAAAAAGAAATAATTCAGGGACCAGCAGTAAGTGTAATGGCTATGTCACTGGACTCCCATGTTATTAACTGTGGTTCGAGTCCTGGACCTGGTGGCTTAAACTCACGCCGGGCATGCGTGCGTGCGTGCCCAAGATCCTGAGAGGAGAATGGAGGAGAAGGCATTGCAGTGTGGCCATCCCACTAGGGGGTGATATCTCACTTTCTATTTCTTTGTCTCTCTCTCTCTCTTTCTGGCGAGCGCATGCGTCCTATAGCAAAAACCTCTCAAAAAAAAAAAAAAAGAAGAAAGAAAAAATAATAATTCAGAAATAAGAATACCTAGATAAAAATGTTTGCTGTAGTTTTATTTTAAAACAGAAAATTTGTTTTTTCAAAGAGGAAATAGCCAAGACTTTCTTGTCAATTGCATTTAGAGTAAGGAAGACTATAGAAAATCACTAAGCTGAATAGGAAGGCTCTTGTAAATTCGATTATAAAAAGGATATACTTGGGGGATAGCAGGTGGTGTGGTGGTTAAGGTACTGGATCCCAGATAGTCGACTGCAGTTCAAGTCCTGGATTAATCAGCCTGAAAATAATGCTGGGCATGTGCGCATGCGTGCCCCAAATCACGAAGGCAGATAAAGGAGAAAGAATTTTGGCATGGCCATCCCCCTGAGGGTGATTTCTCCCTTTCCCTCCATCTCTTTCTCCCTCTCTCTCTCCCTCTCTCTCTCTGGCAAGTGCATGTACTATTCGAAGAAAAAAAAAGATATACTTGGATTTCATACATTAAGGGTAATTCTCAGCTTCTTTGGTATTGTTTCCTGTGGTGAATACATATTGTTTGTTGGACCAGCGCCCCCTTTTGTTACAAACTGCCTTCTTCCTCTCTAGTCTGTGCAATTACAGTAGAAGTCAAATCAAACACCTGCTCCAGACTGGGACTATCACTCCTTTTCCAGGGAATTGCATATTTGGACTGAGAGGTCCAGGACTCAGTCTGAGTATTTAGTTTCGATTGGAGCCATAAACTCAGAAGGTGTGGGAGATGCCATGCTCTATCAGATGTACCAGGAAGCAAACAGGGCAGGAGAGAGCGTAAGAGACCAAAACTACAAAAAATAAAACAGACAAGAAAAATTGATTACCACAATGTCCAAAAATAGAGTAGTCTTGCTGTTAATTTGGTTCTTTCCATAGATGGATTATGATGGAATAATATCAGAGAAGTTATTTTCGAAAACTGGCTATGGGAGAAATGTTTTTGATAGGAAAATTACATAGTGTTAATAAAAAGAAGCATCTTGGGGAACACCAGATGGTGTAAAGGTTATGTTGCTGGACAGCCACCTAGTCAGTTGTGGTTCAAGTCCTGGACCTAGCAGCTTAAAACTCACATTGGGTGTGTGTATCCAAAAATCTCCAGAGAAGAATGGAGAAGTACTTACCATCCCCCCTGGGGGGATTATTTCTCACTTTCTGGCTCTCTGTATCTCTGTCTCTCCAGTGAGTACATGTGCCCTGTAGCAAAAATTTCTCTCTAAAAAAAAAACAAAAACAAAAAAATTCTTGTGGTGGAAAGTACATGAATTCTAGCACATCTGGCTATTAATGCCAACCTTGATACTTTCTAAGTGAGGATCTGTGAATTAGTTACTTTTATCTATCTGAGCCTCAATTCTTCTCCAAGAATAGGCTATTTATGTAATAAGTTAGTTGTAGAATTAAATAAAATATATCAGGAGCCTAGCATAATGCTTGACCCATAGCATTTTACTTGTTGGTATGTGAATAAACTGTTCATTATGCTTTTTACTATACTGAAATAGGCAAAAAAAGAATATTGAAAATAGTTGTATTAGGGTGGTAAAATTGTATTCTAAATTTTGTGTAATGATTTTTTTTTAGAATAAAAATGTTTAAGGAAGAAATGATTTACTTGTTCAGGTAAAAAATATAATTAATAACTGTAGAACCCCCAACTTTTGTTAAAATGGGATTTCATTAGGGTACATTGTTAGATATCACATTTCCACATTTTAGATGGTAGTGATTAAATAATTGGTGTTCAGCCTCTTTCATGAATTAATAAATAAAAATGAATGCTCTGAATGCAAAGAGAAAGGGGTTATTTATATACCTTCCTTGTCCCTTTCCTTTAGTCTTAAGGTACTAATGTGTAAGATGAGTGAATATATGTACATAGGTAGATGTGTATTCTGGAGAATAGCTCTAGTATTCACAAAACCTTTCCCATCCTTTACCCTCACCCCTGAAAATGGGAATTTTAGGTATGAGTGGTAAGGGGAACTGTCTGAGAGCAATTTATATTATGTTCTCTTCAAAAATGCAGAGTAAATTATGAATGTAGAGAGGTTAATTTTAAGTTAAAGATGGGAAAAATACAGAGAACAGAGAGATAATATTTTACTTACAGTACTTTGCCTTGTGAAGCATTATGATTAGTAAACAGCATTGTCCATATGGGCTACCCACTGAGTAATGAAAGTAGTTTTGTTGTGTGGAATTCTTTATTACTTTTTAAAAATGTACACTTTAACTATTTCAGGAGCCACTGGAAGTGGGGAAATGGTCTGTACAATATGTCAAGAAGAGTATTCAGAAGCTCCTAATGAAATGGTTATATGTGATAAGTGTGGTCAAGGTAAATACTGATTTTTTTTTAATCTTGTAGAAAAGTTTCGTTGCATACTAAGTGCCTGTGTTGAAGGTTAATGACTAAGAATATTTTATATCGGGATGCTGTTACCCTAAGTTTATTCATCAGTTGCAAATATATTAATGTAGGAAACGATAATATTAATATGCCTTCTTGAGATTATATCACAGTATTTATTAATAAAATAGAATTTGCTTTATGCTTTTTTTGATATTAAGGATATCATCAGTTGTGTCACACACCTCATATTGATTCCAGTGTGATTGATTCAGATGAAAAATGGCTCTGTCGACAGTGTGTTTTTGCAACAACGACAAAGGTATCTTTTAAGTGTTTTGGGCTAAAGCCCTAAATGGAATTTGTAAGGCACTATCAACGTAATGAATATGTACATTGAAAGCTTATTTGAATGAAGTGAGCAATCAATACTGGGTAGAAGGAGGTGCTGTTATTGTTTAATTAATGATGCCTAAGTGACTTGCAACTTAGTCTTGTTCTTTAGGGTAATAATATGGGAATCGGGGCAGTAATCTGAAATGACAGCAGAATAGAGATTATTATTCATCAAACATCTTGTGATATGCTAGAAGTTTAGAATGAAAATTTCCTCAGAAGTATCAGAGGCATTTTTAAATTACAGAATTGTGTTTAAGATTTTAGCCTTCTCTTTTTCAAATAATTTTTTCCCTCTAATATAGAGGGGTGGTGCGCTTAAGAAAGGACCAAATGCCAAAGCATTGCAAGTCATGAAGCAGACATTACCCTATAGTGTGGCTGACCTTGAATGGGATGCAGGTCATAAAACCAATGTCCAGCAGTGTTACTGCTATTGTGGAGGCCCTGGAGAGTAAGTAAATACAGTTGTTTAATCCCATTTAAGTAATTTTTATTTGCTTACATTGTCTATTTTTCTTATTAATTATAGTATAGGAGTGAGAGTGACTTGGAAATGCATGAGAGTACCAATGCCACATGTTTTCATTTTGAGCAGTGAATGCTTTGTGCAGTGATGACTTTAACCTAATCACCCTTAACTGAAGGCTGCCGACACTGTGAGGTTATAGGGAAAGCATGGTGTTCCTTTGAAGATTTTCCAGGATTCCCTTTTTATCTCCATTTTTTATTCCCTTAAGTCATTAGTCATATTCTGCTTTTCATGATCTCTCTTCTTCACTGTTGTTAACTCAGGGGTTTGTAAGTTGATCTTCTGCCGCTTCCTTAGTTTCTGCTCTTCTGATCCTAATTTTGTTGGAAACCTTTGTCCTAACCTGCTTCTCCTGGGACCACTTTTGCCATTATATTGTATTTTCCTTTTGCTTTTATGTTTTGTGTATCTGTTCATTTCCCCCCCCAAGATAAAGTTCCTTAGTTCAAGGGAAAGTGGGAAGAATGTGGGAATGGAAAAATGGTGGTGAAGGCTCTATTCACAAGTGATAAGTCTTCCATCTGTGGGGTTTATTTATTTATTTATTTATTTTAAGAAAAGAAAGTATCAGACTAGCATTGTAGGCTTGGTGGTTAAAGTGCTAGATCCCACATTGCTGGCTCTGCAGTTTGAGTTCCGGACCTTGGTGGCCTGAAAAATATGCTGGGCGAGTGTATCTGCATATCCAGAATCCTGAGAGGAGAATGGAGGAGAAGGAATTGTGGCGGAACTAATCTCCTTGGGGGGTGGGGGGGTGTTTTCTCACTTTTTTTCTGTCTCTGTTCTTTTTAGCAAGTACATGTGCCTTATGGCAAAAAATCTAAAAAAATAAAATAAATTCTCAATAAAGAAAACTATCATTATTTTTACCCAAAAAAATTCTCATCTAGTTGTTGTTTTTTTTGTTTTTGTTTTATTTTGCCAGAGGATGCCAGAGAGAGAGAGAGAGACAGACAGACAGACAGAGAAATAGAGTGGGAAAATGAATGAGAACTCACTCTCCATGGGTCATGATCATGCTACAGTCTCTTCACCTCCTTTTTCCCCCTCTTTTCAGGATTATGGGCACAAGTGCACACATGCCTGGTTTATCTGGGTTTGCGACTTGAACTGTGTGGTTGGCCATGCAGGATCTAGCCACCTTAACCACACCAGGCCATGGGCTGGCCCCTTGTCTAGTTTTTATCATATTGACACATTTCTTTTTTTTTTTTTTAATTATTTTTAAATTAAATTTAATTTATTTATTCATTCATTTTAATTTGACCAGAGAGAGAGGGGGAAAGTGAGAAAGCAAACCACCAGGTCTGGGACTTGAATTGTGGTCGGCCATGTGGAAGTGTTCAGCACCTTAACTACCATGCCACCTGCTGGTCCTATATTGACACATTTCAAAAGTTCAATTATTCTGGAAATCTTTTTCTTTTTGGATTTTTGCCAAAGGGCTTTTGTGCTCTCTGGAGAAAGACAAGAGAAAAGGAAAGTTAGAAATCACCCTGGGGGTTGGGGGGGCACTCTGCTGCAATCCCTTCTCCTTTACTCTCCTCTTAGGATTTTGGGTATGCATGCACCAGGCTTGATCCTCAAGCTGCTGGGTGTGGGGCTCAAACCAGGGTCCACCATGTTAGAGTCAAGAAGGTTAACCATGCCACCTGCTGGCCCTTATTCTGGTAATTTAAAATGAATTGTTTGTATTTGTCATAAAATAATCTAGAGAGAGGATATTTACTGCAGAGACCTAATGTTAGGACTATAATTTAGTTTATTTTTTATTTCATTATTTTTGTTTTGAGAAGTTTTTGCCTTAGGGCCTAAACACTTCCCAGAGACAGAGAGACATTGAGAGGGAAAGTGAGAAATCCACCACACCCCCCAGGATGGCCACGTCCCATTCCTCCTCTTTTAGTCTCCTCCTGGGATCTTAGGTGCGGGTGCATGTGCGCGCACACGCTGCTGGTTTGAGTTTAAAGTCACCAGGTCTGGGACTTGTACTGTGGTCAGCCATGTGAGAATCCAGTGACGTGTGCCATTTGCTGGCCCTTGAGGTGTACTTAGTTTTATTGGATGTTGTACTTAATGTATTTGACCATTTAGAAACTGATAAATGAAATACTATTTACGTAGGATGTTAAGATACAGATTTTGGTTAAATTCTAGAATCAAGTTAGGATTTTATTCACGTACTGATTTAGAGAGTACACCTTATTGTTTTCTCCTATATATTCTATTTAAAATATAAAATATATTTAATTGTATATATTATTTTTTTGAGAGTTTTTTTTGCTATAGGGTGCGTGCGCTCGCCAGACAGA